ATGGTGCTTGGGAGGCGCAGCTGGCACGGGAAAAGGCACAACGGCCTCCGAGGGGATGAGGAAGGCGGGCACAAAGCCGTAGGAGAGATCGAAGGCTTTGGGGGCTACTCCACTCCGTAACGGGGCAAGGCGGGCTGGTGGTGGGCTAGCCGGGGCACCTGGGCACTTCGTGGGGCCCGCAGGGTCCCTCCCCACCTGGTCCTTCTGCACCTGGTCCTTCTGCAGCAGCTCCTGCAGTTTCTCCAGCTGCGTCCGGCAGATGTGGGAGCGTGTGCGGCTCTGGCAGAAGGACTCCAGAAAGGACTCAAGGGGCAGGTCCTGGGCCAGGAACTGCTCTATCTGTACCTGCAGGATGGACAGTGGGACACCATCAAGCCAAAAGAGCTGTAGGACCTCAGAGGGGGCACTCCTGGACCATTGGACTCTTCTCCAGACCCTGGCATGTGGGAAGGCATGGAGAGCAGTCCAGGGCCCAGGCAAGGAGAGGGCAGCAGCACAGGGGTCTCAGCTGACTCACCTCTGACTCTGCTTCAGAGGCATCGAGCCTGGCTTGGAGCTGGCCCAGGGCGCTCTGTGGGCTCCACTTCTCCAGGTAAGCCTCTGTGTGTCAGAAGGGGATGGGGCTGCCAACCTTCCCATGGGTGTCCCCACTGCTGGGGTTGCCACCTTTCCCATCCCAAAGCATCAGCTCCCCCCTCCCTTGAACTGAAACACTCCCAAACACATCCCTGGGGCCACCTGCACACCAAGACCTGCATCCCACCTTGGCATTATGGCTGCTCAGAGCATCTGTGGCTGCCCCATCCCTGGAAGTGTCCAAGGCCAGGTTGGACAGGGCTTGAAGCAACCTGGTCTGGTGGAAGGTGTTCCTGCTCATGGCAGAGGGTGGAACGAGATGATCTTTAAAGTGTCTTCCAACCCAAACCATTCTGTGATTCTATGACTGGTCCCAGCCGAGGGTTCGCTGTGTCACAGGCAGCGTCATCCCCCCACCGCTCCTGATCATGACTGGACCATTTCCCTGGGGCAGGTTCAAGGATGCTGAGCCCGCCTGGACCCTCATATTAATTAATACAGGCCATCCCAGGCTCTGCCCCATCCCATCGGCTGCACCCCACTCACCCAGGCGCTGCTGCTTGTCCCAACATGCCTCTCGGATCTCCCGCAGCTCCTGGTACTTGATGGCCAGGGAAGCCTTCCCGTCCTCCAGCCGCGGGCGCAGGGACAGGTTCACCCTGGCCTGGGTACAGTTTGAAGCCAAACACATCTCCCGCTCCTGCTGCAGACTCTGGAACTGCGGGGACGGGAGCGTGGGATGTGTGTCAGCACTGGGAGAAATGGGCAGATCCAGGCAGATCCAGCAGCCTGTTGGGCGGGGGTCGGAGTCCACCCAGGGGCGAACCCTCTCTTCCTGCACTGTCTCCATGCCTCTGCTCTGCCTGGAGCATCCCGGGGGGATGCAAAGGCTGCGCCGGGCTACGAACGG